CTATACACTCGCCAAATATAACACGCCTCTTCGACTAAGCCTGACTTGTAGGTTACACGACATACCCGTTTGTCAAGAGACTGACTCGCCGTTTCGCTCGTGTCAATACCCTCCTGTTTACTTTATACTGTGATATCGGAATATCGTGATCGCTCACGTAAAAATACACAAAATGCAATAAGTTACATTTGTGATCGAGAACGGTATTTCGGATGCAGAGGGGTAGAGGGGGAGAATGTAAGGATAAGTTACACATCCTTAAAGAAATAAAATCATCCTAGAGAAATTAAATAAGTAATTGTAAATAACATTTAGTAGCCTTAAAGTAATAATAAGTGCGAATTCGCATTTGTAAGCGACAAATTCAGTAATATAAATAAATGCCGAAATGGCTTTTAGGAGCAGCATGCTTCGTTTGCTTTATTAAAATACAAGTCCCAATACATTATAACGTCTATCATAAAATACTAACACTAAATCCAGTACACACCCTGTAAAATCCATAAACTTCGTTATTCGTCCAAAGTTCTTGTTCACGTGACTTACCCTACTTGTATTCGTAGAACCAAAGTAACCGAAAGCCTTAATCACCCACCAGCCAAATCTAACACCCTCTTTCGAAAAGGTTACTTATCGTACGTTACACGACATTTTGAATTGTGGAGCGACAGAGTCGCAGTTATCCGAACCCAACAATACTCATTCTTGGTTTTGTATTTGTAGATTAGTCCTAATCTATACAATCAACAGTAATTGCGGTATTAATAGATCGAACCATTATAAGAATAAGCCTCATATTAATGCAAATTCAAATCTGGCAAAAAAAAATCGGATAGTTTAACAAAATAAAATCAGCACTGATATTAAATGACACCAGATATAAATTGATAATTTCAACAGAATCGTGATTAAAACAAGCAAAACGAGTTATAATATGACATATAAATATAACAAATCCAAAAGTGATGATGATTAAATAGTAAAGTCGATGGCCATACAAGGAAAATTAATAAAGAATAAAGGCATAATGCTATAGAACAGTGTTTTTAGATGATTCTTATTACATCAATAAATGCATGCACACGTTAGCATACAAAGTAACAAGGAAGGATCATCTAACAGATGCAAAGAACTAACTTGCTAATAAACCATATTCTACGTACTTCGCACTCCATTCCTGGTATTACATTTAGACCTTTCGGTTTTCACTTGATGTTCGCATCTTTTTCTTTTGTGATAACGTCTTAAATACAGTCAAAATATATTAGTTCTCATCGTTATGTGATGACAATTAAAATTATTTGAACGATGTATACAACGCTTTTTAAGTGGCATCTTATATTTGGATGACAAAGCCTCACAAATGTGCGATTTTTAGTCACGCAGACTTAATTGAAACTATAATCCACTTCCGAATGAGGCAACCGTACATAGTAAATTGTGGCACGCGAATCGAAATGTTTTATAAATAAAATTGCTAAGCCACAAATGCCACTTAACGAAACAGTAATGTGTCTTCAATTTTTAAGTAAACAGTAGAGCATCATTTTCTGATTATAGTAAATCACAGATTTTGCTAGAAAACGATTTTCCGACTAATGAAACTATTGTCCCATTTTTGGCTATAGTAAAATTTATAATAAAATAAGTCACAATTTACTATATAGGTTTATATATTATTGTCTCATTCGAAAACGGATTATCAATTAAACACGTAACTCGCTATTAAACCATATTCTAGGTACTCCGTACCGGTACTTCGTTCCCGGTATAAAAAAAAATAAAATGAAAATTGCAAAATTATTAGTAAATATATGAATAGATTTGTTTATAAAAACACTCATCATTCTTTCCAAATAAGAAACAATAAAGCAGTGTAATGTAATGTGATATGGAATTCTTACGCACATTCAGTGCGTTACATACGACAAGTTTCGGAATATGTAGTATACAATCGTGTATATAAAAATGGTCGAAATGTGGATCCTTATTAATATTAAAGTCTGAAATATTCAATGGTACAAAAGGGGATCACATGGTTTTGCAATAATATGAAAACGGTAAACATTGTTGAAATATGATACGAAAATAAGTGGGCAAGATAAACAAATTATTATTATTATTAATCAACGTTATAATCTCTCTTTCCAGAATCGAAACACACATTCATTTAGGCATAATATGTCTGAATCACAGATTATTGAAAATATTCAAGTGTCTTCTAAAAACAGTTATGTAATAGAAGACAAAAATGATGAAGCATTTGACTTGCTAATGGGATTACCACCAGCTATTAATTCTCTTACTTCAGTTATACCATGGTTAGCTACAGTAGCAGGACTCACGAAATTATAAAAATATATGAAGCAGCCCAATATAACAAAAAAATTTGTGTAGCTTTGATGGACCGTGTGATTTCAGCTGAAGCGGTTGTAAAAATTTACAACGAAGAAAGAAAGAGTTTGAAGAAAATTTTCGGAAAATAGAATATCAGAAAGCACTTATCAGATTGATTAATTCATTAGAAAAGATTAAAGAATTCATGGATGATATAACTCAATTAAAAGGATTGAATAAATATGTAATTGCAACCAACATTGAAAAAAGATTTAAACAATTAACTGAAGAATATAGGCCTGCATGAAAGATTTAGTTTTACATTAATCATTGCCTTTGCTGAACAACGAAGAATTGACCGAGATAGCTTGAATTCTGATTTAAGTGAAATGACAAAGGTACGGCATCTTAACGTTT